AAAAAAAAAAAAAAAAGTAGATACCTATAAAATAAATTCCAAATTAATCAAATCATATTCATTATGTACCCAACAACCGAACTCACTCGACCATTCATAATAGGTATATATAATTTCTTATAAAATATAAGTCATTAACGACATTAGCTATTAATATTAGAATAAAATGAAGAATATTCTATAAATGTAAKCATCCACGAATAATATTTTTAAATTACAACTATAACTACAATTTTTATTCTTGATTATTTAATATGCAAGTTCATCTAAATTTTAACTTAGAAAATATGAAAAAAAACTGTGTTTAATAGTTTTTAGGATTTTTTTCAGCGAAATTAACTATTTACRAATAATCTTGTTTTAAATTTTCTATCATTAGCTATAAAATTTAAACTTTTATAAATTTTTAACGACTAACRATTTGTAAATTTTCAATTCAATAAATTTTGTCACTCATTTACACTTTAAAAGACAGTAAAAAAAAATGGCTATGTATTTTAAAATTGTCCAACTGTTATTATATCAACTTATAGGGAAGTTTATGTTAAATTTTCGAGTCTTATGACCCAATAATACAATTTTATCAACATTTATACAATAAAAAACTAAAAAAAGAAAATTTCAAATGTCTTTAAATAACATAAAAATTGTTGAAATCTATTGAAAATTTTATCAAGTATAGGATTTATGCAATAAAAATTTTATGTAAATTTAAAGTTTTTACAGTTATTCGTTTTTGAATAACAATAAAAATAAGGATATCAGTACAAGAGAAATCGAGTGAATATCTAATTTTGTAATTCAAATGCTCATAGAAATTTCATTTTATTTTCCGGTAGACAATTTTTATTTGATAAAGTAGAAAATCTAATGAAAAGTTTTGTATTGAATTTTCAAATCTTAGATATAAAAAGATAAATTTTTATGAATTTCTAACTCAAAATAAATTACCGTAAAAGCAATAATATTTATTTCAATATTTATAATCCAATAAAATAAATTATTTCCAAATTGTGTATACTTCGATATTATATTATTAAATTATAAATTGTAGTAGTATTAATAAGATTAAAAATAAAATACGGTGTTGCCGGGGGGGGGGGCATAATTTTGTACGGACAGTCGGGACAGAGGCTAATCGGGAAAATCCCAACTTCTCGATGGGCCAATCCATCCAATACTGTAATGATTGCAGTATGACAATAATCATATAAGTAATGTAACACATAAATGTAGTACGAGGTTATTATGAAAATATAATCCTTCGTCCTAAATTATGTATAACTCTATATTGTACATACCTAATTAGACGTAATATACGAAAAATATGTTCTACGATTATTTTATTCTAACTTAAACTCAAACCAATAATGATATAAATCGAAAACAAACTAGGTTTAAATGGAATATTTTTTTATAGGAGTGTTTTGGAATTGTAATATATAGGCGATGGAGACTGGAGAGCGGTACTGCAGTAAGTGTTAGCGATAAATGTATACAATAGGTAATCCTATTACCACTACAGAATATAATATATTAGTCGTTCGTGTCTATTGTCACAAGTGCTGTTGCAAGGTTTAAAATCAGGATATGTTGTATCCACATAGGCGTATATAACTAGACAGAACATTCGGTATTCTAACACACAAAAAAAAAATGTACAAAAAGTGGAGCTTGTTTCTAGGATTTGTTTTTGTTTGGCCATATCCTTGAAGCTCTTCCATTTCTCTCATTCTTGTGATAAGACTCAAGCCATAATAATCCCACATAATCTTTTTGGCACGACTACACCTCTTATTATTCGAAGCAAATGCTACGCATAGCTCTAAATGTACAATCCTTTGCGGGTTACATATACCACGTAATACCTTTTCCTATCGATTAGTAATTGATTCATGTTAAAAATAAACTTCTAACGTTGCAACTGATGGTTACTTGTGCAGTTTGTGCTAATGCAAGATTAAAGCATTTAATTCGGTGAACATGCTGCAACATCGATGCGGATACTGCAACAACGATGCGGATACCTGCAACAGCGATGCAGATACCTGCAACAGCGATGCGGATACCGTTAACCACACTTTTTTTGAGTGCCAGTATTGGAGCAGTCTAAGGAAGGATCTTGGCTAGGGCACGTACCCAGCCGTGGTGGACATGCCAGCCATTCTTTGCGGCCCTGCCTTTGATGACTTGCCGCTGGGCYACTAAGCGAGGGYCAATGTCCCCAGTAATGCAGAGAAGATGTTTAGGATCTTCTACAAGATGATGGAGGAAATCTGACCTTCAATTAAAAGGAGGAGAGAGCCAGGCAGTGGAGGAAGTCTAATGGACGAGCCATGTAAGATGGTCGAAGTATCGCTGTCAACCTGGAACATTATGGCAAGTGTGGCGGACTCCGGTCGGCCAGCGAAGCCGACTAATCTCRGAAGGCATATCAACATATTTTATCTATCCGTTTATTGTAATAATCGCATTACTTAACGTATCTTATATTTATATACATATATTATTTTATGTTATAAACGATGGCGACGCTGTCGACGTTATGCRCAAGCAGTTTTGGCAACAAAAAAAAGTTCAGTGAACATGAATAATGCATGAATGTTTATTAAATTACCTATCAATCAAACTTAATGTTTTATGTATATACTGCTCTTTATTAAATTGTTTTTTTTATCTAATTGTCAGCAGATAAAAAACTTAAATAACATCATATCAAATGCAATCATTAGGTTATCTGTAGA